CAATTAACCACGAGGAAGAATGTATGCTATGTGTTAATTATTGAAACTGTCCTACCAATTTGGTTTGTAACTGTCTCATTGCTGTTTCTCAATAAAATTATGGAAAAAAAAAATCAACATACAGCTAAGTGAGGTTTACAGAATTCCAACTAACAATTCTGAAAAAAGAAACTCCCCAAGACATATCTCAGTCAAAATCCCAGATGTCTAATGAGAAGACAGAAACAGTATGGGAATGCACATGTGTAACCCCTGCACTGGCATGGCTGAGGCAGGATGACCACCATGAATTTGATGCCAGCCTGACCTATACAGTGAGACCCTGTCTTAAAAGAGATGAGACAAGACAGAATTTAACATGGAACCAGTAAGGCTGGTAAGAAAGCTCAGTAGAATAAGTGCTTGCCTGGCAAGCACAAGGTCCTGAGTTCAATCCCCGGTACCACACACACACACACACACACACACACACAAACCATGGAACTGGTAGACACCCAGAGAAGAAAAGGCAATCCTGGTGCAACAAGGGCAAAACAAAAACCATCACAACCCTGGACTTCAGGTTACACACCACCACTACAGTGATAAATACAGCACATTACTGGCAGTGAAAAAGACATGTGGATAAATGAAACAGAATAAAAAGATGCAGAAACAACTCCAGACATATTTAGTTATTTGGTGCTTGACAAAGGGGGAAAACCAACCTTGGAAGAAAGATAGCCTCTTCAAAATCGTGGATGGAAAACTGACTACCCACATGCAGAAGGTTGAAGCTAGATCAACATCTCTCACCATGTACTCAGCTAAAACCAAAATGGATCAATGATCTAAATTTTAAAACAGAAACATTTAACCTACTGAAAGATAAAGTAGGTAAAAGTTTTGAAGTCATACGAGTAGTCAAAGACTTTTTGCACTGAACCCAATGACACAAGAAATAATACCAAGACCCAACAAATAAAATTGTATCAAATTAAAAGCTTCTGCACAGCAAAGGAAACAACCAACAATATGAGGGTTTTTTTTTTTTCTTCCTCGAATGCCTTCAGGGCACTTTTGGCCAGCGGGAGAGTTGTGAGGTTTGAACTCCAGGAACCTGAGGCTGACAGCTTTGTGGAAGCAGCCACTTAAAGGACTGAGCTAGGGCCAGGCCCCCACAACCAACAATATGAAAAGACAATCTACAGAATATGAAAAATTTTGCCAGCTACGCTTCGGACAGAAGCATAGGGAAAAAGAACAAAAATTTTAGGGAAAAGGAACAAAAATGATGTTGGATGTGTCATGTACCCATAATGAAATGTAATCATTACATACTGCAAACATGAACTAAAAAACAATAATGAAGAGATGGAAAAATAGCTAAAGACAGGGGAGGGTGAAAAGTAAAAAGAGAAGAATAAAAAGACTCAAGATTGGGAGGCTAAGGCAGGAAGATCGCCACAAGTTCAAAGGCAGCCTCAACTATATAGCAACACTTGGTCTCAAAAAACAAACAAAGCAAAATGAAAACAAATAATCAACATATAATATGTTAAGTATATGCCTTAAAAAAATGTAACATGTCCAAGAAACATGCTATAGTTATGAAAAAAAAAAACCCTAATACAAACTCCATAGAAAGTAGGGATAATTTTTATTTTACAATATTGCATATAGTTACAAAAGTAAATGTCCCAATCATACACTGTTTTATATACAGTGGGAGTGTGTATACATCTATATATCTACATATACATAGATACAGATACACACACACACACATATATATTTACACATCCACCACTATTTAACCTTGCCTCGTCGTTTCATCTCTTTATTTGGGTAAAAAGAAGTATACTTTCCTCATTCCGGAGATTTTTGATGTTGTAATAATTGCCTAAGGAAAAAAATAATAAATTTATTTCCAGAGAAGTCATTTATTTTTAAGTAGTCAGCATCTAACAGTTATAATACATAATAAAAAATAAAAACAATTCATATAATTCAAAGTAACTCTTGCTTAAATCCACAAACTCAAAAGATCACAAGAGTTAACTACCACCTACTGAACTAGATATGGCTTAAAAGATTATAAAACTTTAAACAGTTCTGTAACAAATGTATAGAATGCAGGCAAAGAAAATCTCATTCTGAAAGCAATTTACATGAAATCTTTGGAATTGCTGCAAATTCCTCAAAATCAGATACATATGTTTCATTCATACATAATGAAGTGTAAAAGGTAGAGTTTAAATAAAATTTTAAAACCTCTTAATTTTAAAAAGGCAATGCTGGGCATGGTGGTACACTGTTGTTATCCCAGCACTCAGGAAACTGAGGCAGAAGGATTGTTAAGAATTCAAGGCCAGCTTGGGCTACAAAGCAAGACCCTGTCTCAAATAAATAGGCAAATGGTGCTACTAACAGTAAGGTAATAAACAATAGCAAAAGTGAAATTATAGATGGACAGCATTTTTATTATTATTATTGTGATTTTCTATACATTCAAAACTGATAAAACTTAACTTAAGCTTCACTGGTATAAAGTTTTTTCTGTTTTATTCACTTATCCTTCTAGAGTAAATCTTGGCCATAGTAAATAGTTACTGATATTTATTGGGTGAATAAATTGAAGTAATTACTTCCAATGACTTAGGTTCTTCAGTTACCTGTTCTGTGTCTTTAAAATAATCCACCAAAAACAGTTTGGGTATATAATGTCTTAGAGATAACATAGTGAAAACGCATCCTGGAATGCAATATACCACCTAGTCTTTTAGATTTAACAATAAATGACTCTTAGTTATTATGTATAAAAACCTTAACACCTAATGAGAAAATAAAATATGTACCAAAGTGTGTTAGTATTTGTTATATCATACTTTTTTTGGACCACTCTAGTCTATGTGAAGTAAAATGTCTACAGTTAGTCTTACCTGAAGGAATATAGAATGAATCTCCAGTAGCTATTATATAAGGTGTTTCATGTAAGGTACACAAAAGGTCACCAACATTAACATAAAAAACCTATAAAATTAAAAATAAAAATTTCATTTCAAATTGAATCAAAAATTTACTCCAAAAATTCTTAAAGGAAATACAGTAGGCAGACTAGTGGCTTCCCATAGATATCAATGTGCTAAGAACCTGTAAACATGAAGAAGGGAAATTTAAGTTTTCCAAATGTGTCCTATCTATAGACATGAGTCCTTAAAAATAAAGAACTTTCTCCTGAAAGTAAAAAAAAAAAAAAAGAAAAGAAAAGAAAAGAGACAAAAAAAGAATCTAAAGCAGAAAAAGATTTTCACTGTAGATAATAGTAAGGACAGGCCATAAACCAAAAAACATGGGCTATTTCTAGAACTTTAGAAGGACATCATGATCAACAGCTACTGATCAAATGAGGACCTCATACTTATAACCTCATGGAACTAAATCCTGCCACCCATACAAATAAAACTGCAAGAAATAAGTAGGTTTACCCTCTGAAGGGCCAGAAAAGAATACAGACTGCCAATATCTTGATTCCATCGCTAATCATAAGGGAAATGCAAACTGAAATCAAAATGATATCACCTCACCCTAGTAAAAAAAAATAACAAGACTAAAAGCTAAATTTGGCAAGGCTACAGAAAAAAACAGAATCCTTGGATACCGTTGATAGGAACATAAGTTAGTACAACCAAATGGAAAACATTATTGAAGTTTCTCAAAAATTAAAAGTAGATCCACTTTTAAAATCCAGCCATCCCATAATAGAGTATATGTCTAAAGGAAATGAAATCAGTATGTTGACTAGACATCTGCACTCACATCTTCATTGCAACACTACTAAAAGAACAGCCAAGAAACTGAGTCAAAATGTTGTATGTACCATGGAATTCTACTCAACGTTAAAAAAAAAATGAAATCCTTCCACACATGGTATTATGAATGAAACTGTAAAATCGTGATAAATACAATAGGCCATGCTCAGAACGAGCACTACCACATCATCTTACTCATTCTTTAAAATGCTGATCTTATCAAGAGAGCAGAATGGTGAATGCCAAAGGCAGTGGAGTAGGAGGTCATAAGATTGATTAATCGATACTAAATTACATTTAAATAAAAAAATTCCTTTTTTTATACTACTGCATAATGAGGTTACTATAGTTAACAATGAGGTACTATACGTCTCAAAACGGAAGAAGAAATAATTTGGATAGTTTTAAACATAAAAAAAAAACGAATGATAAGTTCAGCCTAGTAGTATACTCCTATAAGCCTAGAATTCAAGAGGCTAAGGTAAGATGATTGCTGCAAGGCCAGCCTAGGCTATAGTGAGTTCAAGACCAATGTGAACTATAATGAAACTATAAAAAAAAAAAAAAAAAAAAGAAATGATGTTTGAGATAGGTGTGTTATCTGATTTAAATAATGTAAAATATATACACATATTAAAACATTACAAATTACCCTGTTTATGCATCGTTTTTACAAAAACTTAATAGTTACTTTAAAAAAGTATGATCCAAAGAAATGTTTACATTTTGGAAAAAAGATTATGAAACATACAGAAATAAACAATAAACTCCCATGTATACAAGCCTACTTCTTCATTTTGAAATAAAACCCAGGATAACTCATTTAAAAATATTTCAGGACATACTGAAATAATTAAGTACTTTTAAATATATAATTATATTGTTATACCTAAAAATAAATTCATATTTAATCATCAGTATTCAAATTTGTGTAATTTTGGGGGTTTTTGGTACCAGGAATAAACTCAGGAGCTTGCACTTGCCAAATGCTGCACATATACCCTGGCCCTTTTAACTGTATCTTATGCAACATCACACTTTCAAGGGTTTGTTTGTGTTAGGATCCAAGTAAAAGCCATACACAGAGTGGCTGGTTAAATTGTTTACTCAATGCTAGTAGTCTAAATCAGGAACAGTTTCTGGAGATGCAGCTGACTGTCATGCCTGGGAATGGTACTAGTGAACAGAACCAGGGAAGCTTCTAAGTATCTTACAACATAAGCCTATCACAAAAAAAAAAAAAAAGAAAACATAAAAGAGACAGAGACAGAGACAGAGACAGAGACAGAGACAGAGAGAGAGAGAGAGAGAGAGAGAGAGAGAGAGAGAGAGAGAGAGAGAGAGCACAAATCTTAATAGCACTATCATTAAAAACTGGATAAATGGGTTCTCACTGGCTCTCAAGTTCCTTTACTGAACAAATGAAGCAATTTATCATAAAAATCTCACAGTGTATCCTGCTAATATTGCCAGGTATCATTCTTTATTTAAACTGGTAGCTCAGTCTATAGCCTGATCAGGTTCAGGTTCTGACTTTGCATTTTTAAATAAGTACAAAAACCAAAACTACCACATGCACAGTATTGTACTTTTCCATTAGGGAACACAAGCTGATTGTATTTTTTTAACATATTAGCAGCCATTGATGCTCAATGTCTAGTCTAGTAGGTTATCAAGGGTAGCAAAATGGCCATAGCTCAATTCTAACATTACTTCATTCATTACCTAGAATATTTTTATTCTTTTCCTTTTTTTTTTCTTACCCAGGGGCATGCATCATTCCTGGAAATACTGCAACGCCAGGCTGATACAGAGTGGATGGAGCAAGCTCCTATTCCATACCCCGGCTGCAAAAGTTACTTAATACATTGTCCTCAGAGGATGTATCAGCTACTAGACTGAAAAACAGATACTACACTTGATCTCAGCCAAAAAGCCAAGAAGTGAACTGGGGATTGAACTCAGTGCTTGAATAAGTGCCAGGCAAGCACTTATTCTACTGAGCTATCTGCTATCTCCCCAGCCCCAAGAAGAAATTTCTTAAATATTAATCAACTTATTTCTCCAAGAAATTGATTCCTATTAGTGGCTTAGTGCCACTTCTTTGCTTTTTGAGTTTTGGATCATTATCTAATTTTAAAATTATTTTCATCCTTTGTTCTTTTTTTTTTTTTTTCCTCTTCCTAAAATTCTTATGCTGGCATATTTATTTTTCTGTTCTTCACATCTTTTAACTTTGTATGTTTTATTTTTAATCTCTTTTTTGTTGTCTTATGAGAAAGTTCCACTCTCAGACTTAATGTGTTAACTATCTGTGATTTGGATGATTTGCTGGGGGCAAAGTGTACTGAGAACAGGACCCATGGCTCTCTGTTCAGGTGCTCAACCTTGGACCTTCCCCATGAAGATAAACATCATTAAAACTCTAAGGTCTTTGTTATACAAAAGGAAATTTTAATAATGAAATATTTGGAAGCAACTGGTTTAAGACATCTACTACTGCTACTTTTTCTCATACAGATTCTCCAGTACTATGTTTTAAGAAAGTTACTGTTGTCCATTTTGCCCCTCACCATTTTTTTCAGAACAATGTAAATGTGCTTCATTTTTCTAAAAGTAAAAATATTCCTCTTACTATTAAAATAAAAACTTAGGGCTAGGGAGATAGTTCAGTAGAATAAGCGTTTGCCTGGCAAGAGCAAGGTCCTGAGTTCAATTCCCGGTGCCACCAAAAAAAAAAAAAAAAAAAAAAGAACAGAACAACTTAAAAAGACTATTTAGGAGAAACAAAAATCAGCTACAACTACCTAGGTAAAATACTATTTTTTCTACATTTTGTCATTAACATTTTAAAATTATCCAAAAACCAGAAGGAATTTTTTATCATGGATATTTTGTTTTTATGTTACCCAAAAATTTAATAAGGCTAATCTTCAAAATAATGTGCTTAAAATAATTTTAAACAGTGCCTGAAGTATGTAAGGACCACAGAACTTTATTGGATCATACAGTACAATGACTTATTCTATTATTAAGTCAAATTAAAAACACAACATTTCCATCCTGTTGCATATTATTTCTAATTTTTACAATTGTTACTTATAGTCAGTGTTACAATAAATGCAACTGCCAACTTAACTCTTGAAACTATTACCCTAAGAAAAAATTCTACAAATGACTTGTATAGCTCACAAACCATGACTTTTCTAATAATATCTACTAAAGTGGTAATTATAAAGTACCATTTGTTTTTCAGTGTAGATTCCTTTGACTATTAGCCAGGTTAAATGCTTTCAAATATTTCATTATTAAAATGTCCTTTTGTTTAACAAAGGCATTAGAGTTTTAATGATGTTTATCTTCATCATTATTCTCTTATTTTACAGGGACTATTGCTTTAAGAATACATTTTTTTATTCTTTAAATAAAATCTGGAGCTCTACATTTGAAGGTTAGATTCATCAAGCTGGGTATGGTAATACACACCTATAATTTCAGCACTTGGAAAGTAAGGCACGAGGACTGCTGTGAGTTCAAGGCCAACCTAAGTTACATAGTTATTTCAAAGCCAATCCAAACTACATATCCAAACCATATCTCAAAAAACAAAACAAAATCATTAGATTCATTAATGTTCGAATTTTTTAAATTTGGATTTTATAATTTTAATTGTAATTATTTTAAATATTTTATAATTATTTAAAATAGGATTCTACTTATACTGATGTAGTAACAAATTGCTCTTTATTTCCCTATGTGCTTTTTCCTTGTTGTTTTGGTTTGGTTTTTTTGCAGTGCTAGACATTGAGCTCAGGACTGCACTACTGAGCTATCTCCCCAGTCCAATTTGCCTTTTGTTAACATAAAAACTTTTGTGACCACTAGGAAGAATGTATGCAATGTGTTAATTATTGAAACTGTCCTACTAATTTGGTTTGAAACTGTCTCATTGCTATTTGTTCCTCAATAAAATTATGGGGGAAAAAAAACCCTTTTATGAATCTTATTTCTCCCTTTTGAGCTTAATTATCAAAAAACTTTTGAATGCAATTCTTTCATAATTTAGGACTTCAGGTTCCTGAAATATCACATATTTAATGAGCAATGCCTCTTAGGTATGACATTTTTAAAACGATAGCACATCCCAAATTTAATGTTTTTCAATTCTACAGGTTGTAAGTTTATTTTCACATAAACAAACATTCCTCAAACCAATGTCACAGAGACACAGTATGTATCTCCCAACAGGATATGAAACAAGAGGGGAAAGACTGTTCCACCTTAAATCCCTTTGTAACTTTAGTCCGTAATGTTACTTAACACTTACTGAAGTTACTGGGTTTTTTATTTTGTTTTTAGGGGTTTTGGTGTAGGGTCTCACAATGCAGCTCAAACTCATAGTGACCCTTCTGTTTTCAGCCTCCCTAGTACTAGGGTTACAGGCATACACCACCACACCTAGACTTTATTGCTGGCTCAACACACCGCCCCCTTTGCCGCCCCCCAGAGGGGGATCAGCATGTGGTACCAGGGATCAAACCCTGGCCCTACGCTTGCCTAAGCAAGTACTCAGATCACTGCAGAAGCTACTGTTAATCCTGACTTTATCACTGACTCTTTCAGTGACTGCTAAAGTCTAACTTGTTTCTCAAGGAACAAAAAAAAAAAAAATTAAAAAATAAAAAATGTAACAACAAGAGAAAAAAAGAGAAGGAATAGACCTAATCTAATCTCTTTAATCCCTCTCAGCTCTAAAATTCTAATGCTTTTTATTCTAAGATTCCTTTAAGTAAAACCATTCCTTAAACCTCTGAATCTCAAGACTACAGTGTTATGTATAAAAAAAGTTCTTTTGTGGGCCAGAGAAATAGCTCAGGGGCTTCAGGGCCTTCCTGGCAAGCAAAAGGTCGTGAGTTCAATCGCCGGTACTGCAAATAACTAAATAACATTAAAATCAAAATTGAAAAAGGTTCTTTCAAAGAACCATTAGTTCATTGTCTCTAAGCTCAGTTAACAAAGAACAATTTCACTACAGTCCTGAAAGAGGAGTTCATTACTAAGGAAACAGCATTTTAATGCTTCATCAAACCCAACAAATCAGAGTTGAACCTAGAACAAAACATACATGGAGAAATATACTCACCAGTATATCCTCACCAACATACTGCTTGCCTTTTTCTTCATAAGGTCCTAATATCAATTTTCCAGTAGAAAAAAAAGGTGTATCCAATGTTTTATATACTTTCAACTCGCCATGCTCAACAAAAAATTGGTATGTATCTCGTGGCCTTATAAGATCTAAGAAAAATATAGTAATATAAAGATAAAGATATTCAATATAACATCTGTGAACATATATAAAAGTGATTTTTAGATACAAAACCTGTCTTAGAAAACTACGTAAGACCACTGATTTTTAGAGCTGAAAGGCCACAGATCAAATCCTGCTTCTTTTCTTACAAACTTAGGGAAGTTACTTAATCTCTATCAAAGGCCACAGATCAAATCCTGCCTCTTTTCTTAAACTTAGGGAAGTTACTGTATCTCTATCAAATTTCCTTTTCTTGGGCCGGCCTAAAATAGCTCAGTGGATTAAGGTGCTTGCAAGCAGGCAAAGGGGCCACAGGTTCAATCCCCCAGCCTGCAGTGCTGGCTCTGCCCCCTGGGGAACACTGAGATGGCACTGGAGACTGGACATCGTGGGACACGCCTGTAATCTCAGCTTTTGGGAGGAAACAGGCGGATCACTACAAGTCCAATCTGGTAGTGAGACCCTGAACACCTGTTCAGGGTAGACCCTTATTCCTAAAATACAAAAAAAAAAAAAAAATTCCTTTTCTTAAAAATGTGTAATAGTTATCCTGTGTTAAAGAGTTACTATAAATATCAAGTTAATATGTATAAAGTAAAAAAAAATTGACACAAAGCACTGTTATAGTCAGCCTAATAATTTAGGAGCAATTGAGCTATAAAAGGCTCAAGTCAACAATTTCTGACATTGCCAGTCCTATGGATAACCCACTACTACTATGGACTACTGGACTATACTGGATTATTTTGCTGAATTCATGCACCTACAATATTTAAATGGCAACGGAATACCCATTTTTGACAAAACAACAATAAAAGAGGACACAAATGAAGGACTATTTTGGATCCATATATACAAAGTAGGATAGATATACAGCTACTTTTTCTTAATTCAATAAGATCTGTACTAATAGTGTTTGCAAAGGATATCATGTCCGCATCTTGTACTACGAATAACCACTATGAAGACAACAATATGCAATGTATAAATTATTGAAACTGTTCTACTAGCTTTAAAACTGCCTCATTGCTATTTGTTTCTCAAAATTAATAATAAAAAAAAAGGAATAAAGAAAAAAATAGTAATTTAGGAGCATTATTTCTCTTGTGGTTAAAATGGAAAATAAGATTAGCTAAAACATAAGAAAGTATTCATGTCTTTAGAAGTTTAACACAGCCCATGACACACAAGATAACAAATTTCCTGCTTGCTTGACTGATGGTTAAATAACAAGATTTTTATTCATAAGGTAAAAGCTACAAACAAAAAAGTTTTGTTGCACATCATGATCTCACTTTCCAACAAACTTCCCTCTTATTTACAGAACTTTCTAGACCGTTGTCAGCTTCTAATTCCATTTTGCTGGCTATCTGGGAATGTTCATTATCTCACAGAAACAGGATATAAAAAAAGGCATTGATTTTTTTAAACAAAAATTTAAGTCCTAACAATACAACTTTTTTAACCTGGTAGAATACAACAATGTTTTTATACTAAACAAAACTATACTTCTATCTTTATTGCCAAATAAATAATCTCAATAAAGAAATAATTTTGCTATCCAGCTGTGGTGGCAGACACCCGTAATCCCAGCATTGGCAAAGCCAAGGTAGGTATATTGCTGTGAGTTAAGGCTAGCCTAAACTACAAAGCAAAAGCTCATCTGGGGGCGGGGGGGGGAGAAAAGGAAAGACAGGAGAGAAGAGGGTAAGTTTTGTGAAAATGTTCAATTGTCATATGAAACCTGTTTCATAGCCAAAATTTAAGTGAAATTATTATTACAGTCTTCTTCTTTTGATCTATTTGTTCTTTCATTCAGATAATCCACAGTACTGACTAGAAAAGAGTGCTCAGAAATGCTAAGATAACGTAAAGTTCAACATGCCAATACTTGATGCAAAATACCTGTTCCTTATTATGTCTAAGATGTTTGATATGCAGATAGTGAGGTTAAGCTTAACAGCCTAAGTTGTTTGATAATAACTTCTGGATGGTTAACAACCTAAGTTTGCAGACCAAAATTAGAGAAAAAGGAAGGTTGCAAGGAAAGCCAACATTTTGGCCCTAACCTTCTAAGGTCAATTAAGACTCAGGACATATGAGAACTTGTACTGTAACGTCATATAACTCGGTAGTGTCCCAAATTTTCTGATCAAGGAGATTATGGGGCCAAAGCGGAAAGTGATCGATGACGTAGAGTGTGCCTAAGGAGAGTCACATGGAGAGAAAACACTCTCTCAGGCTTTCACAGAGAGCACACTGGCCAAGCAATGGCCGTGACTCATCCACATGGCTAACACTGACAAAGGTTCTACAATCTGAGGTACAGGATCTCAGGATAAATCCTGAGGGCATTTCACTGACATTCTCAGACCCAAAAGCTACAACTCTTGTTGCATAGGTCCTGTTTTACCTTGGTCTTAACCATCCAGTAGAAAAGTATGAAGACGAAATATAGGAAGTAAAGCCATGCTGTTATGTTGAGCTGTGGGGGACTCAGGTCAACAATTTCTGACATTGCCAGTTAAACAGAAGACCCAATGATATTATGGGCTACTGGACTCTTTTAGAATATTTTGCTGAGTTTACACACCTATAATATTCAAATAACGGAACTTAACAAAAAAAGGGTACAGATGAATGTCCACTTTGTATCTGTGTATTCAAAGTGGTTAGGATAGATATATAATTACATCTGTTTAATGAATAGAATGATTTGTTCTAATGGTGTTTGTAAATAGGATCTCAAGTCCGCATCTTGCACAGTAATTAACCACTAAGAAGAATGTATGCAGTGTGTTAATAATTGAAATTGTCCTAGCAATTTGATATGAAACTGTCTCATTGCTATTTGTTTATCAATAAAATTATGAAAAAAAAAAACTTTTTTTCTTTAAAACCCGGCCCAAAAAAAAAAGAAATGCTAAGATAGTTACTTATTTGCTGTATGTAAATACTGCCCAGTTGTTCAATATGTGAGGATAACTTAAAATCCCACCCCTCTATAACCATCTTTGCCCTCCTATGGCCTTCAAGAAACTAAAGTTTAACACCTATGTAAGTCAGGGGGAGGTTGCTAGAATCCTGAACCACTCTTCATGTCAAAATGAGGCTAGCATCTATCTGTAAAGCCAAATGATACCCTCTCCAGTCATATTTAACATCCCAAGTACCATTACCAGAATCTATAGACAAAGAAAACAGCTTATGCCCTGCCTCCAAACCCTATAAGATCCACAGTAAGAGAATATCTCAGATTCTGCCAACCAACTTGCTAGAACTCTCCACAGACAGCCCTAACTTTAATGTGTCCTCTTAATTGAAGCAAGCCTGGACCCTTTAAGAAATGGGATGTTAGTGCTGAAAAAGCTGGCAAAAGAAAAAGGACGCAGGTCAATCATCAAGCCAATGGTTTGTGCTCTTAGGATTTTCAGAATCATTCCTGATCTTACCCATGGGAATAATCTCTCTTGTTTCTGGGTCCTTTACTTGTGTTGGCTGAAAAGGATCTCCAAGGGATATATCACAATTTACCAGTAACCTACTTTCTGCAAAAGAAATATCAATGAAGTGAGAATTTGAAGTACAAACTACTTAAAATTCATCTCAATCAAAAAAGCCCAGGATAAAGCACAGCTATGAACAAGTTACAGAAGAAAATTGTCAGGGATTTAATAGTCACTTCTTGTTTATATACAAGTAATAAACAAATTTTAATTCAAATGTACAATGACTTAATACAGAAGCAAGTATTTGAAACTTCCTATTTTTTGTAAGGCCCTTATAACATGTCAAGTCTTTAACCCTGGCATTATCAAAAGGATAAATAATGTCCTACATATCCCCTAAGAGGCTGGAATTATGCAATAAACAGTAGAGAGCACTGGTGAGATAGTTTAGTGGACTAAGCACCTCCTTAGGCAAGCTCAAGGACCAGGGTTCGGTCTCTGGCACCACATGCCACACCAACCCTTCCCCTGGGCATGCTGAGCTGGGCATGGTGGCACACGCCTGTAATCCCAGTGCTGGGGAGGCTGAAAACAGAAGGATCACTACAAGTTCAAGCTGTGTAGTAACACCCTGTAGGAAATACATATAAATAAAGATGGGGCATAGTGGCACGTGCCTATAATCCCAGATCTTGGGAAGCTGTAAACCTGTGGATCACTATGAATCTAATCTAGTACTGAGACCCTGAACACCCTGTAGACCTTTCCCTTAAAAAAAAAAAAAAAAAA